AACTGTCACATGTCTATGGAGATTAAATAACTAGCCACACATTTCTTGGCACTGCAATGTTGTATAAAGTTCATGGTTTGGGTGAATAAGCCAAGGAGAATTCACTGGAGGCAACAACTGATCCCAGCTTGGCTTCCAAATATGGCTTATGGCCCCAAGTCATCATATGCATCCGGGATAGATTGGATCAAAGTTACATTGGCTCAAGGTAATGGTTACTTCTGGGGAACAGGTCAATTGGGGTGGCCCAGTCCATGCATGGAATGGGCTACCACCACCTCCTGTCCTCTCCCAATTGTGACACCAAAGTCCTCATCCAGGAACATAAATAAGGTGGTGTTAGCGCCAGAATGACAGGCTGGTGACTCATTTTAGTGTGGGGTTTGATCCCTGACTTCACTAAAGATTCGAATTTAAATGAGCACCTCTTTCTAAATAGACCTAATAATAAAACATATAATATAATCAGTGAAGTCTTTGTATACATACAAAATCTGTCCTGAAAAGCAGTTACACAACAATTAAGCACCTACTGTATCACTGCCATCACACAAAGACCAGAGGTACACAGGCTGTAACCTATAGGACCATAAAGGGGAGGAAGGACCATGGGATCAGGATCCTAGAGATGTCAGGAGAGAGCTGCACACACAGATCAAAGGTGTCTTAGCAAGGGAGACCTAGAGATTCAGAGTCAGGAAAGAGCACAAGAAGAGGGCTGTCTTTGATGTGACATTGGGAAGGAATAAGGAGTTTCAACCCAATGGGACTAAGGCAGGGACAGTGTTGAGGGGAGTCCACAGTGAACAAAACCTCAGCATAAACCTGGCAGGCCTACACAGAAATCAACCTGGAGTTCACAAGGGCAGTTGTGTGAGTCAAGATCACAAGAATGCATTTGAGCCATATGATGAGAGTCCATGAGGGTCAAACTAAGGAGGTCAATAGTACTGAGAGCTGTTTCTCAGCCAGAACACTAGACTCCTTAGCTTGGCTGCCACTTACAAGCATGGGATGTTGGTCAACTTATTTGACCTCTCTTGTCACATAAGCAGCTGGAGAGAAAGGATATGCTCACATCATGGGGAGGTGTTGGGGGAGAAGATATGAACTGCATATCTATACCCAGGCAATTGGAAGCTCCTCGCCCACTTCCCCTGTCCTTGGAATGTAGGTTTCACTTGCTTGGTGCACTTCCAGAAGCTGCCACAAGCCAATGCCTTGAGATAGTGATGTGTTGTTGAGACCATCTGAACTGGGTATGGGACTGAACCCACTTAAAGCTTCTCTGTAAACTTTCAGATTCTGGCAAGTGGGTGTAGATATCTACCCATCTTGCCGCTACGCAAGACAACCCTGTATGTAAGCTCCCTATATCATTAAACCTGCCATATACCAACCCAGAGTGGCCAGCCTTTTCTTCAATCTCTCCCAACTCTCTCTGTAAAGTGGTTGCTTTCAGATTATACCTGGGAAGCTGCAGAGGAGGTTGCAAACCAAGGGAGGGTGACCACACTTGTCACTTTTCTCAGTAGAATCCTAGTTTATGCTACTCTCCTGACATGCCACCCACTTTGTGACCTCTTTCACACTCTAAAGTACCCCCATTGGACCAATAAATGTCATCCTCCTCCTACGCATTAGTTTGTTGTTGACAAGATTAAAGGAGGTTTGCTCCAGTTCCTTGCCTCGAGTGACCACTCTATTATTATTTGCCATTCATATTTTATTGAATTTTGGAAACAGATAAATACCCATTGCTGCTGGGCTTTGAGAAGACTACTAAACCAACAGTATGGAAGATGTTTGACAGAGAAGTTCTGTGTAAATTATACCTTAATAAAACTCTTCCAAAAAGAACAGTATCAAGTAAGCATGGATCAAAATACAGTGGTTTTTATTCACACACAGGACTTTTACCTCAGATCTCAACATGACCTTCTCTAGATCTTTCAGAGAATGTGAAGTTCAATCAAGTTTCCAGTGATCTCTGATGGTCCTAGTAGTCCTTCAAGTTTTATCATAAGAGCTTTCTCAATTTTATAGAATGAATCACTGGCAGCTGCCATGTACACACCATCTGTTCTGTGCCCAGCCCTGTTCTGAGGACTTATGACAATCCCAGGACTATTTCCAGAGTACAAAAAGACACAGCCTTGAAATCTTCACAGCAGGCTTGGCCCATGGCAAGTAGTGAGCCTAGTCTAGGGATGGTCTAGATACTGTGAACAACCAACATCTCACTGCCTTCAAGATGTCTCCAAGGCCAAGGCCTTTCCTACCGTTGCCAGGCTGCTAAGTCCCTCCCTCCCCAAGTTCTAGACTTTGGCATGATCTTAATGAGGAAGAGGTTCACTTCCAAAGAACATGCCTGAGGTTAATGTCCCAACAGCCCTGCAGGTGAGGGCAGAACTGGTTTTACAGAATGAGTGAAAAAACATGTGGGATATCTTCTTAAATACTGCAAAGTTGATCCATATCAGTAACTTACAATTTAAAACCACTTAAAGAATATCTAAATTTTAAAATAACTCCTTCATAGGCTTTGTGCCAATACATGAAACACTGAGAAAAGATGGCTCTCACTGTCTGTTATTACTTTATGAAGTACGGTAAGTCCTCAAATGACCAAAATATTGCTGTGAGTATATATCAGGTCTTGCAGGAACCTGAAGACAAGCCAAATATAACTCTCTCTTGCCACATACTTTCTCTCTTTCCCATTACACATGGCATTCAGGGCAAAATCTCTACCTGGACAAATTCACCCTTACAGCATGGTTTGTCTTAATAGGGGATCAATAAGTGTCATGCAAATGCCCATACTGAAGGCTCCTTCATTCCTCTAGTTCCTGAGCATCATCTGGGGACCTGACTTAAAGCCCCTTTTGAAGAGAAAAAATCAGGCCTAGGTACACATGCATCTTGACCTTTTGGTTTCTTCTATTTCTCCTTGTCAAGACTGGCTTGTCAATATGTCCTTTGTGGGCTGAGTTAACTGTTTGTCATTCACCAGAGAATAATCATCATCTGCGATAGAGAAAACATGAAGCTAAAAAAAAATACACCTCTTATTGTGGGCACCATGTACATGATGTGGGATTTTATTTTAATTCATCTTATTCCATTTTATTTTACTTTATTTTATTTTATTTTTTGCTGAGTAAGAAACTTATGCAAGGATCTGTGTCCCAGCAGGTAACAGGGCAAGTCCATACCAACTGGGGCACCAAGGGGAGTCCCCATTAAGACCTAGCCAAGCAGTCTCTCTTTTCATCACTAAAGTCCTTCATTTGCTGTGGAATGGAGATTGGTAGCAATGGTCAACTGGAGGAAAGCACACACATTAGATCATCACATTTTTTCCTATTTCTAGCCTATCCTTAAATTAGTATTGTTCTTGGCAATTTATGCTCCAACTGAATGATGGGAAGAAATGAGTCCCTAATAATCCAAACAGCAAATATCGCATTTATGAGTAGTTAACTCATCTCTCTGGCTCTCTCATCATTTTCATTTTCTTTTTGTTAACTTGAGTCTACTTTGTTTCTCTTGTTCCTATTACCCTCCTATTGTCCCTGCTTAAACTGATGTGGTTTTTCTATTTCTGTAGTAGGAGGTTGTCCTATGTCTCTCTTGACACCAAGAGGCACACTGTGTTTCCTTTCCTTAACTTGCCAAATACCAAGTGCTCCAGGGCCTCTGTAAGTGCTGTTCCTTCTGCCTAGAACATTCTTTCCCAGATATTCTCCTTGATATCATTGTCCACTCATCCAGGCTTTAAAGTCTGTCCTCCTGTAGCTGGCCTGGACTTCTGTACAGGACGCTGCCCCTCGTGGTTGTTTTGTTGTTCTGTACAGCAATCATTTTCTGACGTCACTCATTCAATTTTGGGAGTGTTTGTTGCCTCCTTTGTGAGAAGTAAGTTCCACAGCGTCGAAGCTCTGGTTAAACAACTGAATCTGGGACACACAGCACAGCCACCAGTCATGGGGAAAGCTCATGGTTCTTGTTGAGCAGTGGATGGATGAATCGTGGATGGATGGATGGATGAATGGATGAATGGATGAAACTTCCCATTTACTCATCATTACCTTGTTTGAATCCCTGGATAAGCTTTTTACAGAGTGTCTGTCATCTTTACAAAACCAGGCCTGGATTTATTCCTGCTCATTTTAGAGATGAGGAAAAGGAAGCTTGAAATGACCAGCAGTTTCACTCGCCCAAGGACACTTCATGATTAGGTGTTGCATCCAAGATTTAAATCCATATCTGCTTAAGCCCAGATATGGTCATCCTTCTAACACTCAGCACTGCCTCTGCTGAGCAACCACTTGCTCTACAGCTTCACATCATCCTTTGAATCAGTGAGAAAAAAATCCTAAACAGAAAAAATATAGATATAGATAGATATAGATAGATGATAGATGATAGATAGATGATAGATAGATAGATGATAGATTATAATATAACAAATTTATGAAATTGAGTTAATTAAATGAGATATTCTTTGTAAAAAGAGCCTTCAGAGAGAATGAGACATTGAGTATTTCTCAAACATCAAGCACCTTACTAAAGTGTCTATGGGCCAGGGAAGTCTTTCCCCAAGAGGAGGGAGGGATGTGAGAAGGATATGAAGACCACACTAATAATAAAACAAGAACGACAACACAGGCTCACTTTACTGTAGTCTGATTAGTTAGCAAGCACTTTTGCTTAATTTCATCTAAAATCATGTATCATTGAGTTCCAAAATTGTTTTGGGTTCAACAAGCTCTGTCTCCTTGGTTTCTACAAATGGAACACAGGCTGGCTGGGTTGCAGTTGATTCTTCCTGTCTTTCCTGGTCCAAAGCCAGGTTCATTGTGTGACTCATTACCTCATTTCTGGGAGGGATTAAGGTGGTGAACAAGAGAATAAAAGGAGGACTCCTAGGCACTCACTGCCTAAGTCAGTTCCTTCCTCCCTGTCTGAATAACCAACCAGTGCTGCCCTCAACCATGAAGCTGCTGAGAGTCCTTGTGCTGATTGCCCTCCCCCTTTACTGTTTTGCAGGTGAGTTCTGTGTGGGGAGGGCAGCTTTTGGGCTGAAGATTGTGTCAGGGCCCTCTGGAAGACCTCCTGTTCCCCACACTCCAGTGCAGAGCACCTCCTTTCTCCAGTGTCTTCGTGTTTCATGGTTACTAGTGTTTGGCTTCTCTGGGTTATGGAGGTAGTGTGGGGGTGGGGAGGGGGGGTACACATGCTTTCAGGCTTAAAGGAAATCCTAGATCCTGAGCTTACTCTGCTAGATTTGAGAACTCAAGACCATTCACCATATTCTTTCTGAATGCATGTGTCTACTGGGACGTAAGAAGATGAACCATATCCTAGGGACACCCAAAAAGGGCTTCATACCTACATAATTGAGACCATGTTTGCATGTTTTCTTCCAGGTTCTGGATGCTCATCTCTAGAAGAGGTGATTAACAAAACTATCGATTCTCAAGTGAGCGTGGAAGAATACCAAAATTTACTTAAATCCTACTCATCTGGTCCCGCAACTGACGAGGCCATAGCACAACTGAAGCAATGTTTTCTCAGCCAGTCGGATGAAATTCTGACCAAAGTTGGCACGCTGTTGGTAACTACGGTTTCTTCTAATGAGCTTTAAAACCACTGAACAGGGACAAGCAGGCTCTAAGTTTGTCACTCATTATGCCACAGCAAGTGTTACACATGCCTTCTTTTATTTCAGTGAATTTAATTGTGGGTGCATGTGAATCCTTTGACATCCAGAAAGCCAGCCAAGGTCCCAGTGCTAACTTGCCTCTTCACTTTGTAGAATCTTTAGGGAATGATAAATGAAAAAGGCCAAAGCAGGGAAACAACACACACACACACACACATACGCACACAATTTCTATCAAGGTAAAAAATGTCTGATTCTCAAGAAGGACCTCACTTGTAGAAATGATCAGCAAAAAAAGATCCCCTTCTTCATAAAAAACAGGAAAATATTCATAAGAATTTTTAATAGAATCCAGAAAACCCCACTTGAAGAAGATTCTGTACATCTTTTTTTTTTTTTAAGATTTTATTTATTGGACAGAGAGAGACACAGCAAGAGAGGGACTATAAGCAGGGGGAGTGGGAGTGAGAGAGGGAGAAGCAGGCCTTCCGCCGAGCAGGGAGCCCGATGCTGGGCTCGATCCCAGGACTCTGGGATCATGACCTGAGCTGAAGGCAGACACTTAATGACTAAGCCACCCAGGCGCCCCGACAATTCTGTACATCTTATGAAAAGAATTTAGAATGCACTTTCAAGCAATCCCAATGTGTTAGTATAAGTGATTGGATTCCTTGACCATTAATTTAAGACCCCATGAATGACAAGTAGAGATCATGGGTATGAATCGGCCATTGGGGATGCAATTGCATAAAATAATAATCAGTAGTGTGTTTGCTCTCTATATTTTATTCCCTATTCCAATATGCCATTGAAAACCTTCCAGGGTAGACAATGTAGAAATATTGCCAAAGCAAGAGGTAAAAGTATCCTTCACAGAGAAGATGCTGACACAGCACAGCATAGATGAACCTTGAGCACATTATCATAAAGGAAATAAACTAGTGAAAAAGACAACTAATGCATGAGGTCACTTACATCCATTTTAGAGTAGCCAATTTCCTAGAAACAGAAGGTAGAATAGTGCTTTCAGGGGTTGGGTGGTATGGGAAATGGGGATTGTTCAGTGGGTATAGGGTTTCACCATAGCAAGATGAAAATGTCTCCTCGTCGTTAGAACGAGAGATGAGATCATTCCAATCTTAACTGAAACACCGACTTTCTTGGATACCAGATATGTATGGACAAACCCAGGAAGCCAAGGAGAAGAAATGTTTGTTTTTCAACTTTCCTTTCTAACAGAGAGCTGAAAATCTGATCGATGTCTCTGTTTTTGTTTTCCAGAACATAATATATGAAAGTAAGTGGTGTGCTCTGTTTTAACTTTCCATAAAACCTGGGCCTCCAAGGACTACAGAGACTGCTCAGAAACCGACTGCTGATTATATATGAACCACAACTTTCCTTTCCTTTTTGTCTTTTGATCTATAAACTGCAAGACAATTGTTGAAACCTCGAGTACATTTTCATTTCAATAAAGTATCTGCAAATGGAAAGTTCTTCTTATGTTATCTGATCAAAATGGAGGCTTTAGAGAGTCTGTGCTATCACACATGCGTGTTCCCATGAGCACAGGCACACACACACTCATACATAATTCATTGGAGAGCACATGGATAAAGGACTTAGGAATGGGGAAAGCATTTTGTTCCTCCCCATGTGTAGCCCAACACAGTCCTCTCTCTGCAAATGAGTTCTTTCTCCCTCCTGGCCCCCATTTCCCTCAGGACCATGTGTGAAGATCTCAAGACTTAGGTTCTGGTGTTTGGGCAGCATGCAGGTCCCTGAGACACTGTAGTCTTCCTCTGTGCTGTTAGCCCAGCTCGCCATGGCTAGGCCTCTCTCATCTCCTGCCCCTGACCCAAGACTGCTGGCCAGGGAGAACCGTGACTCATACAAAGCAGGGGTGAATCCTGTCTTGATTTTAAATTTTAATATGTGGCATTCATTTTGATTCTTGAAATATTTCATTAAAATGTGATTTTCCCTAATTACTAAGATTGGGGTTGCCTCCCTGAAATTGTGTGGGTGCCCCTAGTCCTGTCCCTGCAAGTGACAATGTGGTCCAGTCTCTCCACCCCAATGACCGACAAAGCCAAGTAGGTTGAGGGAAATGTGTGTGTTCTGTAGGAAGAAAGCAAAGCCAGCGGTTTTTATACAGAACCATAACTCTCCTTACTTTTATCCGTCCCCACATTCCTGTCACCAGGGATAAGTTATTGCCACCCCTTCTGCTCTCTACTCACGAGGTCCCCTGTCTCTTCCTTCACAGGCTATCCTGTCACCCCGGGAGACCCTGGATCCTTCCTCAGGACTGTTTCTCAGCTTCCACCAGGCATAACACATACAGAGAATTAGGCTGACAATACTTTTAGGATTCCACTAAATGTTATACTTTCTTTAAAAATATTAATCAAAAGTGACTGTAGTAATAATGAATATATACCAATGAATCAGACTGGAGGATATTCGCTTTTATACTGATGCAGTTGTAAGATATGATATTTAATATGTTTTTTATGGAAACTATCCCAAACTACCTAAGACTCACAAAAATCATGAGTCCCTCCCCTCTTCCTTCTCCCAAACACCTCAGGGTCTGTGATGCCATTAGGCCCAGGCAAAAGGACCCTTGCCCAGGACCCACATCTTAAAAGATCCCCCCTATTACACACACACACACACACACACACTTATTTATTAAAAACTCAAGGACCATACTCAGTTCTCAGTGCACCAGGTGCATCCTCACTGGGGAGGGAGGCTGCACCATCTCTCTCCACCTCTCAAAAATGGGAACCTCAGTCAACACTCTCTCAATTTTGGACCATCAGAGAAGAGGAAAAGGAAGAGATTCAGCTGCAGGAACTGGAGATGGACACAAAGATATGCAGAAATTTGCATCAGTCAAGATAAACCCTGGCCTATTTGATGAAGGTGTCTATATATTGAACAGAGCAAATTTCATGCAAGAATTGGTAATAAAGGTTATTAGAGTACTGGAGCAGTAAAAAAGGACCTGAGATGTCCTTCAACAGATGAATGGATAAAGAAGATGTGGTCCATATATACAATGGAATACCAGCCATCAGAAAGGATGAATACCCAACTTTTACATCAACATGGATGGGACTGGAGGAGATTATGCTAAGTGAAATAAGTCAAGCAGAGAAAGTCAATTACCATATGGTTTCACTTATTTGCGGAACATAAGAAATAGCATGGAGGACATTAGGAGAAGAAGGGAAAAATGAAGGTGGGGAAATCGGAGGGAGAGATGAACCATGAGAGACTATGGACTCTGGAAAACAATCTGAGGGTTTTAGAGGGGAGGAGGGTGGAGGAATGGGTGAATCCAGTGATGGGTATTAAGGAGGGCATGTATTACATGGAGCACTGGGTGTTATGCATAAACAGTGAATCATGGAACACTACATCAAAAACTAATGATGTGCTGTATGGTGACTAACATAACATAATAAAATAAAATAAAATTTTTAAAAAGTTGAAGATATATATGTATTTTGGAGGTAAAGAAGATCAGAGATCAGAATTGACTTCTGCAACCAAATGGAATTGCCACTTGGCCCTATCTTTGAGCAGTGTATTTTCCAAAAATACACAGTCCAACAACTGAATAATGGTTTTTCAAAGAATTACTTTTAGTTGCATTTTTAACACATAGGAATATGCAGTGTGCAGCAATTCTTAAATCCGGTTTTCCTCTCTCTTCAGTTTCTCTCACCTCTTGGTCTATCCTCAAATATCTCTTTCTCACTGAGAAGAGTAGAATGTTTAGATTTTTCCAAGTCTCAGTGTCTGGCTCAAGAGAAGAGAAGACAGCTGGTGTTACATATGTGTCTCAGTCTTTTTTTTTATTTATTTAAATTCAATTGAATTAACATACAGTGTATTATAGGTTTCAGAGGTAGAATTTAGTGATTCATTAGTTGCATATAACACACAGTGCTCATTACATCACGTGCCCTCCTTAATGCCTATCACAGAGTTACCCCATTCCCCAACCCACTTCCCCTTCAGCAACCCTCAGCTTGCTTCCTATAGTTCAGAACCTCTTATGTTTTGCCTCCTTCTCAATTTTCATCTTATTTTATTTTTCCTTCCCTTCCCATATATACATCTGTTTTGTTTCTTATATTCCACACACGAGTGAAATCCTATGGTTTGTCTTTCTCTGAGTGACTTATTTCACTTAACATAATACACTCTAGCTCCTACCATGTCATTGCAAATCACAAAATTTCATTCTTTTTGATGGCTGAGTAATATTTCATGATATATATATACATACACACCACATCTTCTTTATCTATGCATCTGCTGATGGACATCTGGGCTCTTTTTATAGTTTAGCTATTGTGGACATTGCTGCTATAAACATTGGGATGCAGGTGCCCCTTCAAAATACTATTCTTGTATCCTTTGGATAAATACATAGAAGTACAATTGCTGGGTGGAAGGAAGGGAAAAATGAAGGGGGGGCAATTGGAGGAGGAGACAAACCATGAGAGACTATGGACTCTGAGAAACAAACTGAGGCTTTTAGAGGAGAGGGGGGTAGGTGGATGGGTTAGCCTGGTGATGGGTATTAAGGAGGGCATGTATTACATGGAGCACTGGGTGTTATACACAAACAACGAATCATGGAACACTACATCAAAAACTAATGATGTACTGTATGGTAACTAACATAATAAAATAAAATGAAATAATAAAAAAAAATCCTGGGTGGGAGGGTAGGTCTATTTTTAATGTTTTGAGGAACCTCCATACTGTTTTCCAGAAAGGCTGCACCAGTTTGCATTCCCACCTACAGTGTAAGAGAGTTCCCCTTTCTCCACATCCTTGCCAACATCTGTTGTTTCCTGAATTGTTCATTTTAGCCATTCTGACTGGTGTGACATGTTATTTCATTGTGGTTTTGATTTGTATTTGCCTGATGCCTATTTTCCTTACTGATGTAT